GAGTTTCCCTACAGGAATAGTTGAGAGATGATGCCGTGAATAATGAAATTGGAGGAGAAGAAGTGTGTATTCTGACAAAAGGTGATTTCTCAACAACTAGACTTTGAAATGGAAGCTCTGCCTCAGAATCATTTGGAGACTCTGATCTCGTCTCCTGTTTTGCATAATATGCAAAGCTATTTGTGTTTTTCCTTTCCTCATCAGTCTTTTTCCTCCCATCCACTAATTCTACCTTCCAGACTTACTGCAGATTTGTTTGCTATGATTAGGTATGCTTTGTTACTGGCTGGCTTCTTGATTTGTAATGAAATAGAATTCTCTTACTGGTAGTCAAGGCCAATAAAATGAGACCCCTGTGCCTGATTTTATTTCTGTAAAATGGCTCATTGAAGGGACATATTTTGAAAGGCTTCTGTAGATTATTAGTTCATAAAATGGGGGTGTTCCAGCACTTGAGTTATGATAATAATGATTTTCTGGACATGTAGTTGTACTGTTTTTCAACTATAGCTGAGATGTAGGATCAAGTCTACATAATGGCCAAAGAGGTACCAGAAAGCTGTGAGCACCACTTTCTCTTTTCATGATGCTTTAGCGCAAACCTCCTTGCACTTCCTTGCTTCTGTGCTTCTGCTCTCCTCCTAAGTGAGTATAAGAAGTAGTGGCTACTGAGAAGGTGAGTGAGGGAACAGGAAGAATTAAGCTTGGGTACCTGACAGCCTGACTAGTCAAGGGAGTCCCAATATGGGCAACCACAGCCCTAGAGACAGCGTCTCCAGTTAAGGTGTTTCAGAGCATGCGAGAGAACATCTGTGTTGTGATTGTTTTCAACATCTATCTCTACCTGCTAATCACTCCGGTTACCAAACAGTGGGCCTCAAATGCCAACCGCCTGATTATATTTTCATTGTTTTCTGTTCATGGCAGGCAAAGAAAGCTGTGTATCTATTTATGCCATAAATGTTTCTTGTCTTTCATTAGTTTAAGTAAAAAAAAAAAAATTAAAGGGGAATATTAAGGAAATAACAGTTCAGGAAACTATAAAAATCACAGCAGTCATGTCATTATTAGAAAGAAATGGTTCAATTAATTCTTATTTAATGAGGATCCTCTGCTCAATAAAATGTGGTGTTTGACACTGCAGCAGAAATTTATAGTGGGAAGAATGATGGACTGCATGTTCATCATTTCTGTTGCAGTTTTCCTTTCAGCAGCATGATATTAGCAAGTCAGCTCTTTCTAGGCCTCAGTTTCCTTGTCTATAAAATAATGGAAAGCTGGCAGCAATAATTCTGTCTCTACCAGAGAGATATTTCCAATCTCAACAAAAAAATGGAAGCTGTTAAATGATTTTTTAATTTGAATGTTATTTTTTAAAAATATTAAGTCAATTTTGGGGACACTACACCACAGCCTGGTGATAAGGACCTTAGAAGATTTGTGCAGGGATTTGTCTAGCATTGAAGACATGATACTAGTCTGGCTATTGTTCTCCACCCAAGAGAAGCAAACATCTTATATTTTATCTAGACTTTAAATGAACCTATTTTTTGAAATGAACCTTGGTCAGTGAAGGAAAGTGAATGCTGGTGGAACCTACTTGGATAAAGTGGTCACAAAAATTGTTTTTCAATGAAGTTGAACTGTAAGGTAAAATCTGAGTAGTGAGCAAGATATTACCATGAGAAAATAACAGAAAAAGCATTTCTATAAAGGGAGCAGCATGTGCTGAGTCTGGAGAGGAAAGAATTGCTCTTTCCCATGAGCAAAGTATGGTTGGAGCTGGATGGACAAAGAAGAGAATGGAATGAGTTGAGCGGGATGAGGTAACAAGAACCAGGTCGTGCAGGCTGTGCAGATTATGGCTAAGGTCTTGCATTTTATTCCAAATGCTCTGGGAATACTCTGATTTTTTTAAGTGATATTTTGGCCCTTTGTGTTTAGGTTTCAAAGGACAAACCAATCAAACAGGCCAGAGTCCTAGAAGTTCACACTAGGGTTGATGATTTATTGCCTGAGATGGAGTTGCTTCAAGAAGCCTCCCAAACAATCCTCAGCTCTTCTTTGATCCATAAATTTGCCCACATCAATATCTGAGATAGCTTGCATACCATTTATACTCCTGTTATATTTTATTACTCCGATCTATAATTCTTATCCCCTCCGTCTCCAAGTTCTTGATTCAGATTCAAGTTCATCAAAGTTCAAACTTTCACAAAATGTATATGTCCCATAAATGTTGGTCACAGAGCAAGTACATATAAGTTCAGTGGTTTCCAATAGTCAGTGTGCCTCAAGATCACTGGGAAGATTTAGAACATGGATGCCAAGGCTGCCCCTTCAGAGTTTTCAATTCTCTCAGCTCCTTGTATTTACTGCAGTGATCCAAATGATCATGCTGTGAGGTCAGAGTGCAGAACCAAGGATGATTCTGAGTGCCCTGCACTAGTTTTAGGAGTGTCATGTTCACCCTTCCCCTTCCCATGCCCATATATATATATATATATATATATATCTTTGCCTTGTCACTGTTAAAAGCACAACATGAATATATTGGTCATCTAGTGTTTGAAGTTATTAGGAATAATCAACTTGGAAATCTATAATATGAGACTAGATACATGTATAATCCTGTGATATCACTGATCCAGGGAATTAAGCTACATTTTCTAGGATGCGCTTTCAATTAACTTTTTTAGAAGTAAAGATAAATTAGTTTTTCACTAGACCCATGGAATTTAAGTGACTTTTTTATCAGTTGTGAACCCTAAAAAATGTCAAATGAAGAAGGTGTTGAACTGTGTTTTCTTTAGGTATGATGTTCAAATGTCTAGGCATGTTATGTTCATGAAAGTGTTTTGATTTCAGAATGGAAATTTAACTAATTATTCAGAATTAGATTTATTTAATTCTTCCTTATGGGTATGTAATAATATAATTTTAAGGTACCTGTTTCAAAATAGAAAATCAATGTTAGAAATAATAACAATAAAAAAAAATTAACCAAACTGGGCTCAGTGCCCAGGGAAACTAGCCAGACTTCAAGAACTAGGCAAGGAATAAACTAATAGAGCAAAAAGATAAGAATGAATAGAGTTGTTCATAATGTCCCTTTAAAATGACCACTTTACAGTGTGACAGCTACTGAGAAATTCTATGTGGACATTTGTCATTGTGGGCGGGGTTCCTGCCTGTCTCATTTCAATGACAAACTTTTTATGGAGTTTGCCTTCCTGCAACGTCAATCTTAAACATACCAAGAATATACGGTGATTCTGCATTGTGTTTGAGATTTTATAATGCTGTGAACTACTTGGAAACAAACACATCAGAAATAAAAACAGTACTTGGTAACACTTTAACTGGAGTTGGAAGGAAAGCCTTCAAGTTTCCCAGGATGCTTAAATGTCATATGATTTACATAAACGGGGAGGAAATCTTCTTTGTGTGTTTAGGGGTGTGCGTCTAATACAGGAACCCATGCTTTCCTGTTATTGAAAAGCATTCTTTAATCTTTTGAGCACATTTTTGGGCCTGCATATATTCCAGGCATGTTGTTTCCTTTAACATGAAAACACAAGAGCAGGATACAACTACCAGAGAAACCCCTTTGTGTCATGGGAGGCACAAAAATAAATGAATCAACTTAAATGGATGGACAGAGCCCTGGGCACGCTGTGAGACTGGCTGACTTATTGAGAGGAATGGCTATTCCTAGTGGAATGTAACAGGTCTGAAGCCAGAATAGAGAATCTATTTGTGATAGAAGACCAAAACTTTCCTCTGATTCTAGGTATGAAGGGGATGATAGCTTTTTAAAATTAATTAAAATTAATTAATTTATTAAGTAATTTATTTATTTAGTGGAACCGGGGATTGAACTCAGGCCTTTGCACTTACCAGGCAAGTGCTTATTCTACTGAGCTATCTCCTAGGCCCGATAGCCTTTTTTTTTAAGGAAAAAATCTTTTTATTTATTTGGTACAAAGTCTCACTATGCAGCTCAGACTTGTACTGATCCTCCTGTCTCAGCCTCCCCAGAGCAGAGATTACAGGCATGCACCACATGCCCGATTTCGGTGGCTGACACAGCACACCCAGGATTCCAAGACCGGCAGAGCACGCAGTACTGGGATAGAATCTGGGTCCTTGCACTTGCAAGGCAGGTGCTTACATCACTAAGCTATCTCCGCAGCCCCAGAACATAGCTCTTTAGCCATAAGAGTAAGTGCAATTGGTATAAGACATTGGAGGCTTTTATCCAAATATAAATAAAGTGGTGGACAATGACCTAAAGAACTAATTTGAAAAACTTTTTTTTTTCCCCTCCTGGTGTTTGAGAGGTACTGCTACCTGAGACTAGGAGGAGTAATTATCCTGGTCCTACAGGTATAGTGATGACAGGAATCTGCATGTGGGGTTTATACCCAAAATGCCAAATATAGCCATAATCACATGTAAACTAGATAACTGCGTAACTTTGCAAAGGCAAATAGTTTGTTTCAAAATATTTGTTTATTTGTTTGGGCTTCATTATCACTGAGACCTCAAATACTTATGCTGGATTGTTAAATTAGAAACAGTCACTGAAGGTCCCTGAGGAAGCTAGTAACCTTAGTTGTCCTTCAGATTCATCCTTTTCAACGTTTCCCTTCTGGTGCCTGTGAGCCTGGTATGCTTCTTTCCCTACAATCTGTAATTATGCACTTGCAGTTTCCATTAGAGGTTCTTGGTGTTATTCATTTAGTTAAGTCACTTAATTGAATGAAGATTTATATAAAGCATCTCTCACAGTAATATTATAAACTGCTTGAGAAGAGAGATTATGACTTCTATTTCTTTTGCATTCACTCAACCCTCTCTAGAGGCACATATTCATTTATTCATTCATATTCTCCCCCCCTCCCTCCCTCTCGCCCTGGGCATATGCACAGTAGGTATTGAATGGGGAAATAAACCAACTTGCCGATCCACTGACCTGAGTGGTCTTTTCTTGGCAGTAACAAACAAGAAGCCCACGCAGGCATCTATCACAAAGGTCAAGCAGTTTGAAGGCTCCACGTCATTTGTCCGAAGATCACAGTGGATGCTTGAGCAGCTTCGGCAGGTTAATGGGATTGACCCTAATCGGGTGAGTAGATTATCCAGTGCTGAACAAGAGTTTTCTTCACAAGATGACTCTTTGATTGACTTTGGTAGTGGTAGTAGTTCTTTGACTCATACTTAAGGCTATTCCTCTATTTCAGTTCTGTGACTACCCTTTTTGATGCCTGTTCCTTCCAATGGAAAATAGCAAATCTTTTAATTATGTTTGAGAGAAGAACCTAAGATGATGGAAGAAATCCTGCCTCCAATGTTTATCAACACAGGGCAGGGTTCAGATAGTGATGTGCATGGTAATCAATATTAAAGCACCATATTCATGAAAGATTCATTTATTCATTTATCCCTGAATGCCACTAATGAAAAAGATCACTCTACCAAAAATCAAGTAAATTAATAGCACCTTAAAAATCATACATTAGAATTCTACTGGATTTTATAAGAGAAACATTTTAAAGCATAATTATCTATTCAAAGTACCCAGCCTCTCATTCCCTTTTGGGTCCTCTGCTTCTCTCCCTCTCTCCGCTCTCTCCCTTCCCACCACCACTCAATAATGAAGAAAAATAAAATGTAAATTGTTACCATACACTAAAATAAAACAAGGAAATCTTTTCCCATCAAAGTGTAGAGGCACAATTAATAGAGGTCATTGCTGAGAATGTGAAGGAATATTTTTTCTAAGAGAAAATATGAAGTGTGAATTCTAATGTAAGTCAATGTACAGTTAGGCTGTCTCACCTTCTAGGATTCTGGCCTCCTAGGGACATCTATAAATACTGTAAGATTTTGGTTTTGCTTGATAAACAAATTTTTTAAATGAGCCTATTGTTACCATAGTCTTTTAGCATTTATGCATGTTTGGTTGGGAAAAGCCAGAAGCAGTTGTTTTGATAGATTGAGATCAGTGCTTCTTTCAATGTCTTTTCCAGGATTCTGCAGAATTTGACTTGTTGTTTGAAAATGCTTTTGACCAGTGGGTAGCCAGCACAGCCTCAGAGAAGTGCACCTTCTTCCAGATTCTCCACCACACCTGCCAGAGGTACCTCACAGACCGGAAGCCAGAGTTCATTAACTGCCAATCCAAAATTATGGGAGGTGAGTGGACACCTCTATCACATGAGCCATTTTATTTCCTCAGACTTATTTCTATATGAAAAGTTGAATATTCAGTAACATCATTTACAACAAAAGATCAAATGTTCAGAACTGGATAGCATTAGAAACATTGTAGGGAGTTCACTGTATGCTACATCTAGACACAGTGGCATGTTTTCACTCTTATGGAAAAGGCAGATATTTTTAAATAAGAAGTAGCCATTTAACTAAGATTATTTGTCCAATGGGAGCAATTCTGCCTCTTTATTAGAAAAGTCTCTCAGTTTGGTTTCTTTGATAGCAAACCTCTTTTCAATGCCATTGCAGAACACTGTTTTCTGGGTTGCTTTTTCCTATTATCTCTAAACACATTTTATACATATTAATATAAAAACAACAAATGATGTCCCTTTCTTTCAAATAACTGCCAATCTCAAGTTTATTTTTTCAGTGATACACAGAAATCAGTTAGAATGAATGTGGTAAACCAGTGTAATGTGGTGTGTACCAGCATAGTCAATAGGGCAGTACTTTCATAGTTGGAAAATCTTTGTAGGGAATGCAAGCTGCTAGAACTATAAGAACCTTGCCAATCACTCTGTGAGTAGGGAAATTTTTTTATGCCATTTTTTTCACTGACCTATTTTCTTGTTTTATACATACATTTTTTAAATGCACCAAATTTGCCATCATGAAATTTTAAATCATGGTTACATTAGAAACATCGTGTCTTCTCCTTGGGCTGTATATTTTTGTATATTAATATGAAGTAGAATCCAGTATTCCCTCCCAGGATCCTATGTGCACACTTGCTTTGCCACTTCTTTGCTAGATCTTATATGGAGAAGATACTGTCCAGTTCTTCATCATTGTTCATAAAATTATTTTACATTTTGAGAACACTGAAAGGTCTTTCTCAGGCTTGGATGCAATCTTTTATTGTAGCTTCTTGATTTAGTCCCAGAAACATGGAAGGTGATTAGTGGTGCACATTTTCTTCAAAGTGACCACTTCCTATGGTAGAAGAGTAGAAAACAGATGTTCAAAGGGAAGAAAATATTTTTTTTTGTATTTTTTAGTAAGGGTCTGCAGGGTCTCAGGATGTAGATCGGACTTGCAGTGATCCACCTGTTTTCAGCCTCCCAATGAGCTGGGATTATAGGTGTGCGTCATCACTCCCAGTCACAATCTCCATCTCAGTGAGTCCTGGGGACAGCGCCCACAGGGCACACCAGGGATCAAACCCAGCCACTGCATCTACCTAAGTAGGTGCTGTAATCTGCCAAAGCATTTGGCCAGCCCTTAAAGGGAAGAAGATATTAAACAGTGACTTATTTGAAATATATAATGAGATATAGTTCTCTATCATGTCCGTGCCACTACTGATCGTCAAATGAACCCTACTTTGAAACTTCAGTCTGAACAATTTGGTAAAGATTTGAAAGGCACTACACAGAGAAACACTGGTGGTTCTTTTCAGGGAATAGGAAGTTGGTCATAAGCTCAGCTTCTCCTCCTGCCTTACTAGATGGAGTTTTCTCTTCTAGTCTAACATTAAATCACTTTCTTGATCTTGAGTTCTTCCTAAAAAACTATTTTTCTCTTTCTCAGTATGACCAGTAGTTCACATGGATAGCCCCTCTAAAAATGCTGGGCCATTATAGCTTTGATGTTTTTACTGCTCTTGGAAAAAGACCTTTCCTGAGCATTCCACTTCATGGTCCATTCTAAGAGCACAGAATGGCTAACAGCCTACCCAGTGCCATAGGAATTCTAGTACTTCTAACATGTTCTTCCTTTACCCTCTTGGAAATCCTCAGACCTTCCCACAAGTCACACCCCGCTGTTCCTGTGAGTCACTGACCCAGTCCTGCAGACCTTTCCATTGCCTAATGAACTTCAAATGAGGCATAGTTTAGATAGGAATTCATAATGTTAAATTACTGGTATATGTCTGGATAAGCTAACAATTGCTTTTTTAATAGCTAGAAAAGGAATAAGTTAATGAGATAAACTATCAGAATTGGCTTTGCCTATTGGGACTATAGTTTTGTGGTTGTTGTTGTTGTTGTTGTTTTTATCTTCTCTGGACCAGTTTCCAAGGTACAACATGTGGAGGCGAGAGATGATATCGATAGTCTCTTTTAGGTCTATCATTTTGAGTATATGTAATTATTTAGTATTTTATTGTGTAGATTTATTGCTTCTTAACTTAAAGAATGAAATAAAGGCTTTACTGCAGTTAAATATAAACTGGCCCTGAATTCCTAAGGAAGGGAAAAGAAAGCTTGTAGTAACCATGTTGCAATTTATGAACAGTCCATGTCTAATGACTGCCACTGTCCTACTTAAATAGTTGCTTAGCATTGGCAACAGTTGTACTAATGAATCTTTATGCTGATTAGTCTTCTCTTTTTCCAGGTATTCCAATTCTGACGCTTAAAATTAATGTGTTTGGGGCATTGCTGGATTATAACCCCTTCAAATCCCCCATCTACAGTAGATGAAATCCATTTCTAAGTTCCCAGAATCATTTGGTATCTGTTACACTTGGGCTATAAATTTGAGATACAATTCATACTGTAAAATGTGCATTTCCTGATTTTCACGCACTCATTGGTATGCCGCCCTCCACACTCTTTACAAATGTTATCTTAATTTTTAAAGCTGCCTTTGGAGAAAAAATTTATTATCTCCATTTTACAGAAAAGGAAGAAACAGGATCAGAGAGATTATTAAATAACTTGCTGAGGGTCATATTGCTAGGTAGTGGAGCTAAAACTCCAACCACAAGCTCAGGCAGCTCTAAGAGCACATACTGAAGGGATGCTGGTGCTGTGCTCCAGGAAACACCACTGTAGCGTCTTCGAATAAATAGTGCCACCTGTAGTTGTTCGGGAATTGTTGGAAGTAGTTTAGCCAGCACATAACTGGGTTTAAAGGAGAGGGCCAGAGATAATGGGTAGTTTTAAATACTTTTCTTGTTATGTCACAGATGTATAATTTAAATAATATCCCTTGAATGAAGGCAGAAGGCAGGAAAAGGCGTGTTGTGGGACTGTCCTGCTACAATGCTATATATGGTTAGATTTCTGGACTTGTGTAAACATATTCTTTATTTTTATTTTTGAATATATTTTAATTTTTAAATAAATAATAACCTTTATGTTTCTTTGTCCTGAGAACCACAGTCACCAAGAACCTTTAAAATCACCTCACTTTTGCTTTTCGTTTTTGTTCCCCATAACTTCAGGTTATTACATAAATGAAAACATAGGGAAGATTATGCAGTCCTGGCCACCTGCAGGGCCTCGCAGGTGCTTTCTGTCTGGTCTAGCCTTGTCACTAGGAACACAGGCTCAGCATTTTTGAATGATTTTGTCAAGATTAAAGGACCAGAAGCAAATCTGTCTTTCTCCCACTGAATTAACTTTTTTTGTGTGTGTATTTTAGTAGAGGGTCTACCAGATCTCACAACACAGATCAGACTCATAGCAATCCTCCTGTTTTCAGTCTCCTAAATGCTGGAATTACAGGTGTGTACCACCACACCCTGTCTCAGCAAGCCCCGGGGGTGGAGACAGCACAGCACCCCAGGCATAAAATCCCAGTCACTGCATGTGCCTAAGCAGGTACGTTAATCTGCTGAGTTATCTGGCTGGCTCTGAACAACATTTTTTGTTAACACCAATTCAACATCAGATTCTTCATTATCT